AAAAGAAAAAGAAAAAAAGAAAAGGAAAGACCAAAGTCGTAAAATCAGTACCACGACGTGCAACCACTAGTCATAATTGATGATTTGCTTTTTCCATGCACTAAAAGAACTTCATCGTGCCGATGTGCTTCTCTTTATAAATTCAAATGAACCCCCCCCCCCAACCCAATCAACCCACAAACATTACTGCATTCTCTGTCATCTGCATCCTTTGAAGATATCAATGAGTGCCAGTCTGGAAACCAATGCCCCAACAACCGTCAATGCAGGAACACGCCCGGCTCTTTCCAGTGTCTCTGTCTAGATGGCTCTCAGCCTGACAACAACAACAACTGCCCAGGAGGTGAGTAGCTAGCGCACTTTGACCAAAGCTCCACTTGCCTGTGTCTGTCGACGGTTCAATACCTGGATAAGGAACGTGGAAAATGTAGAGCAGTCTTGTGAAAAGATGTTATGACAGAAACAAATGTTACGTCACTTGATAAAACCGTTACCCAAATTTTTACCTTAGAGAATTTTTTGCCTGCATTTCGAGTTTTGGCATATTCTGACACGGTGAAGAATCAGTAGCTTTTTTTTAAAGGTAACATTGCTTGCCCTCTCCCCACTCACTCACCTTTTTCACATGTGCCGCATTAAAAAATGTAGATGTTTCCCATTTGTTCCAGTATTCTAAACAAATGAACAGAAGAGCATCTTTGTTTCTAATGTTCTGCTTGTATATATTTGTCACTAAATCTCTCCCCTGACATATTATTTTCTTTTGATAAATGTTTCAAAATGCAGTTAAGCACTATAGTGAACCATTATATTATTATAATTTTATATTGATATACTCACTGTTCACAATAAAAGACAATAGGTGAATAGAGATCACCTTTACAGCTCTCCAGCAGAGATTTCATTATTAGCTTGGTCCGTTTCATTCTCGACTAAAATCTAATCAATCTGTATAGATTCTTGACATACTATGTATCACGTTTGTTTTTCTCAGCCGGAGGCATAAGGTATTAAAATGTTGTGAATGGTTTTGTTTACTATAAACCAATCAACCTATGACATTTTATTTCTGATAAATTGATTTTGTGTGTAGAACTTTAAAGCATTAATTTCTCAACACAATGGTTTGGAGAGGGTATTGCTATTTTTAACATTTGAACTTTTGACAGACACCACCACCACGTGTGCCGACAACCCATGTGAACAAAATCAACAATGTGTGGACCAGAACTCAGGATTCGCATGTAACTGTCTACTTGGCTACATGACTGGCGCAGTTGGCTGTGTTGGTATGTCGCTTTCTTTTGTATTAGGATTTGGGGTGTGTTTATTTTGTGAGTCCTACAAAAAAAGTAGCGTGTATGGGTTTAACAGCACTTATTTAACACTGTTACGTTATTTAAGAAGCGGGGCTTCAAATGTGATGTCAAGCAACTATTGGACGGATCATAGGAGCCAAATGGGTTGAAAGCAGTAAAAAGTACTGTATAAAACAACAGGAATTGAAGAACGTTTGGTCGGAGATTCAAACCAGGGCCACCCCCCTCCCTCACCCCCCTCCCCTCATTGTCGTGCATGATAACAAACAAGCTAAATGTCCCGAGTTGTCCCACTGGGCTTCAAATGTGATGTC